AGAGCCTGATGCACTGGAAAATGATGCACTGCAGCTCTAGAGAGGATAATGCACTGCAGCTGTAGAAAGGATGATGCACTGTAGCTCTAGAGTGCCTGGTGCACTGCAGGACTAGAGGTTGATGCACTGCAGCTCTAGAGAGACTGATGCACTGCAGCTCTAGAGAGACTGATGCACTGCAGCTCTATAGAATGGTATAATCCAGCTCTAGAGAGGTTGATGCACTGCAGCTCTAGAAAAGATGATGAACTGCAGCTCTAGAGGCTGGTGCACTGCAGTTCTAGAGGCTGATACACTGCAGCTCTAGAGGCTGATACACTGCATCTCTAAAGAGAGGCTCATACACTGCAGCTCTAGGGGCTGATGCACTGTAGCTGTAGAGAGACTGATGCACTACAGCTCTAGAAATGCTGGTGCACTGCAGCTCTAGAGAGACTGATGCACTGCAGCTCTAGAAATGCTGATGCACTGCAGCTCTAGAGAGGTTGATGCACTGAAGCTCTAGAGAGGCTGATGCATTGCAGCTCTAGAGATGCTGGTGCACTGTAGCTCTAGAGAGGCTGGTGCACTGCATCTCTAGAGGCTGGTACACTGCAGTTCCAGAGGCTGGTGCACTGCAGCTCTAGAGATACTCATACACTGCAGCTCAAGGGGCTGATGCACTGTAGCTGTAGAGAGACTGATGCACTGCAGCTCTAGAGAGACTGATGCACTGCAGCTCTAGAAATGCTGAAGCACTGCAGCTCTAGAGAGGTTGATGCACTGCAGCTCTGGAAATGCTGATGCACTGCAGCTCTAGAAATGCTGATGCACTGTAGCTCTAGAGAGGTTGATGTATTGCAGCTCTAGAGAGGCTGGTGCACTGTAGCTCTAGAGAGGCTGGTGCACTGTAGCTCTAGAGAGACTGATCACTGCAGCTCCATAGAATGGTGTACTGCAGCTCTAGAGAGGCTGATGCACTGTAGCTCTAGAGAGGTTGGTGCACTGCAGCTCTAGATATGCTGATGCACTGCAGCTCTAGAAATGCTGATGCACTGTAGCTCTAGAGAGGTTGATGCACTGAAGCTCTAGAGAGGATGATGAACTGCAGCTCTAGAGGCTTTGCATTAGAAAATGATGCACTGCTGCTCTAGAGAGGTTGATGCACTGCAGCTCTAGAGACTGGTGCACTGCAGCTAGAGAGAGAAGGTGGACACAAGACACAAGTGAAAACACCCATGGTCTCCTGTTTGGACACTCTTCAGTGTGACTTTCCAAAACCCTCATTTCTGATTTCCCCTTTCCTCTTACAAATGTAATAGATAGGCTTTAGGAATCAAACACAGGGAACTCTGACTTAATGTGAGCCCACATGAGTCAGCCACTGGGGCTTTATTTGAGTTCATGGAGGCATCAGGATGGTAGTAGGGCTTCTGGTCCTTTGGTTGGTCTTCTTTAGATTATAAATCCACATAATAGGCAGGGAGAGAAAGTACATGGAGTCACAAATGTGCAGTTTGAGAACTTCCCAATACAATGGCCCCTCATTCACTAGGAGTCTGAGAGGATGGTGACATGTCACAGGTAACTGTGACTGTATTTCCGTAGCTAGACAATATTTAGGAACAACTGATTTATGACTACTTTACCCATACTGTTGTGGACCATCTTACTCTTTACCTTTTGAAGAAAGGTGTGGTTTAGATGTCCTGGTGACACAGCAGGACCTAGTGTGCCCTCTGTGCTGGACAGGATTCTGGAAATATAGCTGAAGCAGAGATATTATTCTTCATCCTCATCATGGAGAACTTTGTATAACATGAAAGAATATACTGTTCAGATTAACCATGGGTGGAAGTTAACCTTTCAGTTGAACTCCTGGAGATGGCAAAGGTTTCAGTGTCCTGTATGTCATTTAGGTTAAATTTGTCAACTTTCTCAAACACTGGAGGCTGTGATGTCAAACCATTGTCCAGGCCATCTCTGCCTACCACCTGTTCGCTCTCCTGAAATTTCAAGTACCAACAATCCCATTGGCACTCTTGAATGCTATTTTCTTTCTAAAAATCTCCCATTCTTATTTCTGTTGATTAACTACTTCATACTGAAGATTACTTTTACAAACAGAAAACTGTTCCCCTCCATAGACCTTTAAAATGTGCTAACATTTGGTGATCTACAATCTCTGCCCAAACAAGAGGAACATATAACTAGTGAGGAGGGTATTCTACAGCTGATGGTCAAATGTCAGAATGAATATTTTCCTTTACCCAGTTACCATATATTGAATTAACATCAAGGAACAAGTTGTAATCTAAGCTTTCCATACAATAAAAAAAGAAACCACTGAAGTGTCTATACTGCTGGAAAAAGATAAAATCATAGCCTGTCACAGAAGTTGACACACAGCTGGTATTTGCTTTTGTGAGCTGAGTAGAAAGTCAGTGTTATGTGGCTTAAAGAGGTTTTTATCTCTTGGCTCTGGGATGGAAGCCAATGCTAAATCCAATCCTGTCCTCCTCTGATTTCAGACATGGTTCGTCCATCAGAGAGCTGAAGAGAGGAAGAGTGAGAGGTCTGTAGTATTACAGAGCATACCTCCTCCTATTGAAAAGGTCCTTCTCCTTAGGGAAAGGGACGACTATCTCTAGAGTGCAATCTTTGTTCAGGAGCTAAAGGGAAATTTGGTGACACATGTACTCAATGTACAGCTTAACTAAAATTCAGCACTCATGTTAATAATAAAAACAAGAATTTCCATGTTAATTTCATATGCTTTCTGGGGTTTTGTAGTATATAGATGTACACTCTTCAGGAAATGCCTTTTAAACAAAATGACAACTTCTGTTTTTTGGGGGTGACATTTCTAAGTCATGAGTATTGCTTGCATAGATGACTATTCCCTGTACACGGTAATTGTGAAACAGTGGATCACTTAAGCCTTCTTGATTCAGGCTCATTTGATCCTTTGAACAAGGGATTCAGTAGTAACCCTGCAAATGGAGAATTTAAGGAGAAGGTGGGCACAGAAAGTATTGATGGTGATTTCTTTTTATTTGGGGGGGTTATACCAATTCTTTCTTTTTTCTTTTAATGAAAATAGATTTTTCTGTCACATAATATATCCCGATTATGGTTACCCTTCCCCCTACTCCTCCCAGTTCCTCCCCACTTACCCTCCCATTTGGATATATCCCCTTTTCTGTCTCTCACTAGAAAACAGCTCAGGTGGGTGGAAGCCACCCACAGGCCAGCCTGGGTCCTCAAGGCCTGGGCTGGCTAAAGACATTGACAGGGGGAGGGTGCCATTATGATGAACAAATGTATTCTGGAGAAATGGGAGAAAATGAGAGGCAGAATGGTTCATGTGCTGTGGAAACAGGTGGAACAGAAGAAACAAAGGTGGTGAGGAGCTGGCTGAGGTGGGTGGCCTGCTTGTCACCCAGGGAAGTGATGACACCTGGGCCTGGACTACTACATAGGGCCATGTTTATGTCCGTGGTCCTACTGTAGGCAGGGTCTGAGTTGATGTCCATGGCATCTGTTGCCACCAAGGGCCATGAAGATGCCCAGGGTCTGGTTAGTCAATTCAGACAATTTTGTTGTCTGAGAGCCGTGCTGCTGGTGGTGCCACACTGATCTCAGTGACCTGAGCTGCTACAGGGCACATGGTAACATCTGGGCTCAAGATGCTCTGGAGGGGCACCTGTGGATCTGTGGTCCTGCTGTAACTGGAGTGTGTGTTGATATCTGTTGCCCATGTTACCATAGGAGTCCATGCACGATGAAATCCAAGGGCAGAGCTGAGCCAGCCCTGCCCTGTGTTAGCCCTAGGAAAGCTGGCCCTGCTCCTCACTAGACACTGCAGCAAGAGTGCTGACCCTGACCCTCACAGGAGAGCTGGTCCCAATGGCTCAGGCATGGAGAGCTGGCCCCCTATACTTAGGAGAGTGGGCCCCACCCCTCAACACAGGCATGAGAGAGATGGCCCTGATGCCATGGGCATCGGAGAGCTGGTTCCACCCCTCACCTGAGTATCAGCTCAAGTATCCAGGACTGACCAGCTCACCTACCACTCAGGTCCATATCCAGGTCCTTGGATTGGCCCACCCTAACATCTACCCCATCTAGGACCTGCTGGAGCATGTGAAGGGACTGGTTCTGCAGATCTCCATGACTAGGGGCCGCCATGGGGTATCAGAGAGGAGTTTCAGTGAGGATCCAGTGATGATGGTGGACCAGAAACCAGGGGCCTTGAACCAGACCAATGACTCATTGCAATTTTCATTTTCGGGTGGGGCTGATTGAACAAAAGGGTACACTGCAGGACACACCAAGGATCCCAGTGCCACTCAAATGAATGAAGAGATGTTGAAGAGGCAGGAAAGACAGTGGAGAGATGTGGGCTTTTTTGTTTGTTTGTTTGGTTGGTTTAGTTTGGCTTTTTGTTTAATTTTCTTTTGGGGAGGGACTCTGCAAGGTTGAAGGGAGGATATAGAGGGACTGGGAAATGAGCAGAATTAGGGTTCCGATGTGAAATTCCCAAAGAATCAATAAATTGTGTGTGTGTGTGTGTGTGTGTGTGTGTGTGTGTGTATGTGTGTGTATGAAAATATATAGGCTTCTAAGGGGTAATGATAAAATAAACTATAGCCAAGCTGTTGTGGTACACACCTTTAATCCCAGCACGTGGTAGGCAGACCCAGACGGATCTTTGTGAGTTCGAGGCCAGCCTGGTCTACAGTATGAATACCAGGACAGCCAAAGCTACAGAGAAATCCTGTCTTGAAAACCCCACAATAAATAAATAAATAAATTATAATGTAATAAGTGAAACAAAAACTAACATGTTAGAATTGAACAAAATGTCGTGGGTCTAGGGTCACTCAGAGATTCACTGTGACCATGAATAAATTTTAATAAGAAGAGGTTTTATTAAATAAATACTGGTGCCAGCTGCTCATGACACCAAGACTGCAACTGAGATCGCTCCCAATTGCAGCCCCTGGTCATATTAATCCAAGGCTTATAAAATCAAAACCACAAGATTACATGTATTCTGTCTACACGTAAGCATGTTCTAATTTTAACATATGTCTTGTAGTTGTCCTGGTCATTGAGCAGAGTAAGCTAGTTTGATTACAAAAACAGAAATAGTATTTAGTCCTATGAGCTATTGTCTTTCTAGAACAGCAGATTTTACAGGATCAGTCAATTTAAGAACAGTCTTCAATGCCTTGGAAAAACCGGGGGAGGATGAGCTGCTAGGGCACAGCTTGTACAAGCTAGGGGCTTGCATGTTTGAGGGGTTTTTTTGCTTTTTGGTCTCTCAAGCATAGTAATTCTAAACTTTAAATGTAATGATAATCATTACCTTTCCCCCATTGAGTTGTATAATGAGTCAAATATCTGACTCTGTGATGGATACCTGTTATTTCTAAAGCCTTTTGGTAGAGGGAAACCAGTTTCCTTTTAGACAAATATTCCAGCCTTTGGTTGAGGATAAAGGGTGAGGGATTCTCTTCTGCAACTGCTT